GGCATTTTAGTTGACTTTTACAACACGCATGGCTTACGGAGGAAAAATTTCTTATTCCACTTCCCCATGGATTAAAAGGAAAAGAAATAAGACCAAGAACTATTAAGAGAAAATAAAAGAAAACTCAGAAGATGGGTATAAATAAACTTGTACATGTATGTGTAGTGTGACCTAAGTGTAAGTAGAAGTAGCAAGACATGCCTGTAATCTTGCATATTTATGAGACAGACAAAAGACACCAGCAATCCTACCATCATGTAAAACAATTACAGGCTTTCGTTTTACACTCACTTGGCAGGACAGTAGTACCTCCCTGGGTGGTTGCTGTCTACCAACCTACTACATTATATCAATAATATATAAATAATATCACTTGGAAAATGACCCTGATCCCTCCCCCTCTCAAGACAGTCCAAGAATTAAACATGATGTTCAAGTGTAACAGAAGTCTTAACCCTTTGAGGGTCCAAGAATTTTAAAAACAAAATTTTTTTATTTTTTCTTATGAATTTGTAGAGAACCTTTCTGAAGGTAATAAAACAAAAAGCAAGAAATTTGATGGAAAATTGACAAAATTACATTATCTCAAATTTTGCTGCATTGGCAATTACATTATTCCAGTCGACCAAATTCTTAGCTATTTCGCTAGTATTACTTCTATTTTATCAATTGAGTACAAGAAACTGTCCAGTCAACTATTTAAACTACCTAATAAAGTGATCAGAAATTGGTAATTTGGCCACTTTCACACAGTTCAAAATATTCCAATTTCAAAATGGGGTCCAAAATAAACAATGCAGGCATTCCTGTCACTAAAATAACATTTCCTCTGTTTATTAGTTATGTTTCCAGGCTTTACAGATGAATTCCATTTTGATTTTTTATTTACACAAAATTTTTATTCATACCAAAAAATAGAAGATTTACTGTTATGCAGTATTGTAATAATTGTATATATAATATCAATGCATTTGTGAACGTATATTAGATCGACCAGCTGACATGTATTGGACGCGCGATGTCTTTTGTTTACTCTTGAACATCGGCAAAAATCAAAACATTTCCACTACTTTGAGCTCAATTTCAAACTATTTTCAGTACTAAAACCAATCAAAACCATCTCTATTGCTGTAATATATCTTCCATTCTATCAAATGAGACCAAGAAACTATGAATATAACCGTAAAAACTATACGAAAATACACCACAAATTCAGTGTTTTAATCCAAAAAACATGGTCGCAATTTTTTTTCATTGTTCACTGGTTGCTGCAGCACCGTGTCTTCCTTTGCAGATGACACCCGAATCTGCATGACAGTGTCTTCCATTGCAGACACTGCAAGGCTCCAGGCGGACATCAACCAAATCTTTCAGTGGGCTGCAAAAACAATATGAATTCAACGATGAGAAATTTCAGTTACTCAAAATGATAAACACGAGAAATTAAATCTTATCAGAGTACAAAAAAAAATTTTGGCCACAAAAAAAGCAAAACACAACGTCAAAGACCTGGGGGATCATGTCGGAGGATCCACCTTCAAGAACCATAAAAAATTGTATCGATCGCATCTGCTAAAAAATACGGGGGTAATGAAACCTTTAAAAAAAGGGTGCCCCAAACCCATGATGACACCCTTTTAGGCACTTTTCTATCTAGGCTGGAATATTGCTGCACCTAACAGCACCCCTTTAAGGGAGGTGAAAAAGCTGACCCAAAAAAGAAGAGAACCTTCACGGCCCGCAAAAAAGGGATAAAGCACCCCAATTCTGGGGGCGCTTAGGTTCCGAAAACCCTTTTTCCCCGGAACGCAAAGGGGAGAGATACATGATTATATCCCGGAAAATCCCAGAGGGGCTTTCCGAACTTGCACCGAAAAATCCCACAGAAAACAAAAGACTTTACAGACGATGCAACATCCCCCAGTGAAAAGCAGGGGGTCACTACACTTAAGAGACCATACAATAAGTGTAGGGGCCGAGACTTTTTCAACGCCTCCAGCAACATAAGGGATTCCCAAACAGACCCTGGCAGTCTCAAGTGGCACTGGACAAGCCCAAAAATCGTTCCTAATCACCGGGCTGTGGCTCGAAAGTTGGTTTGCGTGCACCACAGTAACAGCCTGGTTATCCAGGCTTTTGATCCCCCAGGAGCTGGTCACAGACCGGCCGCGGGGCTTTACCCCGAACTCTCTCCAGGTAAACTCCAGGTATGGTGCACACTTACCACATACTGCTGTACATTAACATCTCCATTCAAAGCAGGTGAAATTGCAGATCTAGAGAGTGTACAGATATCCTTTACTGCACGTATAAGTTCTGTCGAGCACCTTAACTACTGGGGAACGCTTGGAAAGCACTTGACTTGTACTCGTTGGAACGCAGGAGGGAGAGATATATCATAATCTACATTTGGAAAATCCTGGAAGGAATGGTCCCAAATCTGCACACAGAAATCACTCCCTACGAAAGTAAAAGACTGGGCAGGCGATGCAAAATGCCCCCAATTAAAAGTAGGGGCACCATTGGTACACTAAGGGAAAACACCATAAGTGTCCAGGGCCCAAGACTGTTCAACAGCCTACCATCAAGCATTAGGGGAATTGCCAATAAACCCCTGGCTGCCTTCAAGAGAGAGCTGGACAGATACCTAAAATCAGTGCCGGATCAGCCGGGCTGTGGCTCGTATGTTGGACTGCGTGCGGCTAGCAGTAACAGCCTAGTTGATCAGGCCCTTATCCATCAGGAGGTCTGGTCATGGACCGGGCCGCGGGGGCGTTGATCCCCAGAATAATCTCCAGGTAGATGCATTCTCTCATATCTAGGCCCAAATTTACTGCTCACAGCTTATATGAGTGAGCTGAGCTCATGATGTAGATCTGCAGCTTGGACCCTCCATTAATGTTTTCTTTTATGTGAGTGAAACTGAATCATGTGGTGGTGCACCACCTGATCAGTCTGTTTTCTGTTTCCAGTATTGGATTGATAGCCACTGGATGGCAAAAGGTTTCCTTAATAAAATGTCCTATTTGCTGCATGTTTCTTACATACTAGTCACTGTTAATCACCATGTGTAATCTCAGCCATGGCCAGGCCTACATATTTTGTTAAAATGTTTGTACAGTGGACCCTCCCTTTTCGTGATTAATCCATTCCAGAGAGAGTGATGAAATCTGAAGTTCTCGAAAACTGAAACCATTTTCCCCATAAGAAATAATGTAAATCCAATTAATCTGTTCCAGACACCCAAAAGTATTAACCAAAAATAATTTTTTAGAGATTAAATATAATATACAGAAAAGAATGACAAATAAATATAAAGCACTAATAACATGTATAAATGAACATTTAACATCAAGCTTACCTTTATTGAAAAGACTTGTTGGTGTATGGAAGACATGGAGGGGAGAGGGAGCACTGATTATTGTTTGGAAGGGGAATCCCCTTCTATGAAGACTTTAGGTACCAAGTCCTTATCCATGTTTACTTCCCTTCTTTGTTTTTCAATGGTACTAGGACCAGCTTGAATCACTGGACCCCTGTTGCACAAAAAATTGTTCCAGAGAGCTCTGTTTCTGGCATCTCTAAGATTTGCCTAAAATAGGACAAGGCATTGTCATTGAACATGTTGCAGACACGCCTACAATTGCTTTGTTAGGATGATGTTCCTCCACAAGTGTTTGCACCTCGCTCCACTTTGCACAAATGTCCTTCATCTTTGAAGAAGGCACCTTCTTCCCTCCCTCTTCCTCCTCTGAAGCAATTTCCTCAGCTGTGCTCTGTTGCTGTTGCAGATGAAGGTCTTGCAGCTCTTCAGTGGTTAGTTCCTCTCACTGTGGTCCTCCACCAACTCTTCCACATCCTGGCCACTCATATCCAACCCCATGGAATTCCCCAATGGCACAAAACAGTAGATTCCACAACAGGCATAGGATCGACAGGGTCAGCCCCAAACCCTTCAAAATCCTTCTCTTGGACACATTCTGGCCACAGTTTTCTCCAAGCAAGAGGATATTGAAATGATCCCTCCAGAACACACTTAGGGTCAATTCAGTGTCTGAGGTCACGTCAAAGCACCTTTGAAACATTGCTTTGGTGTAGTGTTTTTTGAAGTTTGAAATGATCTGCTGGTCCATGGGCTGGATGAGAGGAGTGGTATTAGGGGCAAGAACTTCACTGTAATGGAACTAAACTCCAACAGTTGGTCATCCAAGTCTGGAGGATGAGCAAGAGCATTGTCCATTACCAGGAGGCACACGAGTGACAATTTATTTTCTACAAGGTATTTCTTCACACTCGGGCCAAACACTTCATTGAACCAATCAAGGAAAATTTCCCTCGTGGCCCATGCCTTATTGTTAGCCTTCCACATCGCACACAATTTACTCTTGATGACACTTGTTTTTCTTGAAGATTGAGAAGCTTATGCATTGGTAACGACTTGTCTTCTGCTTTGAAAATAAGAATTATGCCACTTTCGTATTTTGCTATAACTTCTTTCTTGAGCTCTATCGTGTTTCTCACCTTCTTTACAAAAGGTCTGGAACTTGGTGCTCTCTTTGGGCCCATGATGGCTTATTTAGCAGTCACACAATAACCAAGTGCAAAAAACCATGGATTATTACGAAATGTTTCGTATGTCCTCACAGGGTTATGTTCACTTGGTGAGAAACAATGCCAGACTGCCTCTGAATGGGTGTGTGGGAGGCTGTGTGTGCGCACGGCCACTCGGATGTGTTCTGTATGACCAACGAATACAGGAAAGTAACGAAAACAGAGCCTATATTTTTATGAAAAAAGTCGGTGATAACTGAAAATCACAGAAACAGAGCTTAACAAAAATGGAGGGTCCACTGTATTCCTATCTGAAGTAGAATTTAGCCAGAACCTTTTCATGGTCATTTCAGTTAGATTGATCAGTTTATCTAGTAACACAGTATTACCCTTTTTTCTGTTATTACTCTATATTCCTATATGACATTAATGCAATTTTTTCTCATTAGGTACTGCTACCAGAGCTTTGTTGACTATCACAGATGCCAGAAAATTAAGGGTGAAGATTATGAGCCCTGCAATTACTTCAAAAAAGTCTTCTCTTCTATATGTCCCAATGCCTGGATAGAAAATTGGAATGACCAGTTGGAGTCTGGAATCTTCCCTGGAAAAATCTGAAAAGACTGGTTGAGAATCTTCTCTGAAGGTAATAAAACAAAAAGCACAAAATTTTATGGAAAATTGACGAAATTACACTATCTTGAATTTTGCTGCATCAGCGATTTTGCCCACCTTGACTCCTATTTTAGGCCTATTAAATTATTCCAGTCAACCAAATTCTTAGCTAATTCGCTAGTATTACTTTATTTTATCGATTGAGCACAAGAAACTGCCCAGTCAGCTATTTACACTACCCAAGAAAATGACAAATTGGTAATTTGGCCAATTTCACACAAATTAAAAAGATGCCAATTTGAAAATAGGGTCCAGAATAAACAGTGCAGACATTCCTGGCACTAAAATAAAATTTTCTCTGTTCATTAGTCACGTCTCCAGGCCCCTCTTAAATTACTCTTGCTATCTATTTTGAATTTTTATTCACACAAAAAATAGAAGATTTACTGTTATGCAGACTACTGCATTATTGTAATAATTGCATAAATAATGTCAACCCATTTATGATTGCATATTAGAACGGCTAGTTGGAGACTTATCGGATGTTTACTCTTGAACATCTGCAAAAATCGAACATTTCCGCTACTTTTAGCTCAATTTCAAGGTCCTTTTCATTGTGAAACCAGTCAAAATCATCTCTATTTCTGTAATTTGACTTCCATTCTGTCAAATGAGACCAAGAAAATGAGAATACAACCATAAATACTACATGAAAATACACCTCAAATTCTGTTTTAATCCAAAAAAACACGGTCGGCATTTTTTTTTTTTTTTTTTTTTCTCTCTCATTATGCACTGTGCACTAACCACATACACCCATTCTCTCAAATGTGGTCCTACCAGCTTTCTCCCGCTTGATTTGAAGCCATTAGAATTTTGCAGTATTAATACATCACCGACACTGGCTCGTAAGACGTATATATACAACACTGACAGTCAAAGGGTTAATTCAAAAAACAGTTGCATTTTTTTTTTCATTATTTACTGGTTGCTGCAGGATTTGTTTTATATGGTGCACACTTACCACATAGATGCATTCTCTCATATCTAGGCCCAAATTTACTGCTCCCAGCTTATCTGTGCGAGCCGAGCTCATGACGTAGATCTACGGCTTGGACCCTCAATTACCCTCCATTTATGTTTTCTTTGTGAGAGAGACTGAAGCATGTTAAATGTGTGGTAGTGGCAAGATTGCCTTTTTTTTTTTTTTTTTTTTTTTTTTTTTTTTTTGTCAAACGGTTATGTAACGGGTAAATCTTACACAGTTTCTAGTTTCTTATTAATTCTTATTTTAATATTTTTTCTGATTTAGGAGGCATGATCTGAGATTGGGCAACAAGAGCAATTGCTGAGTGTATATAATGGGTATATAATGTATATAGTGTATATAATGACGATCTGTTGAAGTGTGAGCAGGGTAATATTTAGTGAAGGGATTCAGGGAAACCGGTTATTTTCTCATAGTCGGACTTGAGTCCTGGAAATGGGAAGTACAATGCCTGCACTTTAAAGGAGGGGTTTGGGATATTGGCAGTTTGGAGGGATATGTTGTGTATCTTTATACGTATATGCTTCTAAACTGTTGTATTCTGAGGACCTCTGCAAAAGCAGTGATAATGTGTGAGTGTGGTGAAAGTGTTGAATGATGATGAAAGTATTTTCTTTTTGGGGATTTTCTTTCTTTTTTGGGTCACCCTGCCTTGGTGGGAGACAACCAACTTGTTGAAAAAAAAAAAAATATAATGGGTCTGGTCAGGTGGTGCACCACCTGATCAGTCTCAGTTTTCTGGTCCCAGTATTGGATTGACAGCCTCTGGATGGCAAAATGTTTCCTTAATAAATATCCTATTTGCTGCATGTTTCTTACATACTAGTCACTGTTAATCACCATATGTAATCTCAGCCATGGCCAGGCATACATATTTTGTTAAAATATTTGTATTCCTATCTGAAGTAAAATTTAGCTAGTACCCTTTCATGGTCATTTCAGTTAGATTCAGTTTATCTAGTAATACAATACTACCCTTTTTTTTGTTATTACTCTATATTCCTATATAACATTAATGCAATTTTTTATCATTAGGTACTGCTACAAGAGCTTTGTTGACTATCACAGATGCCAGAAAATTAAGGGTGAAGATTGAGCCCTGCAATTACTTCAAGAAAGTTTTCTCATCTATTTCCCAGTGCCTGGATAAAAAATTGGAATGACTAGTTGGAGTTCAGAATCTTCTCTGGAAAAATCTGAAAAGAATGTACATTCTTGTTTTAAATTGCCTCATCTACGTGCATTTGTAATATCTTGAGATTGGGTCTCCAGTTTGTTTGTGAAGATAGGAGTCATAGGCTGCTAATCAGACAAACTTGAGACTCAGTCTCAAGATACACACTAACAAAAAAAAAAAAGCATTTATCTTTTAAAGATTCCTTCAGTAAAATAAAGAATAACTCATTGCTTTTAATGGCATTCCATCACTTCCTCTATACTCATTTGAAAGATTGACTTGTTAACAATATATATACTTTCTATGGGAGTTCATTTTTAAAATAAAGAATTGTGGCAGTGTTGTAGATACTTGATTTGTACATTTGTCATTTATGTAGATAATGGTAAAAAAGTTAAGCAGTGACACAAGTGTATTCTAACTTATTCCTGTGCATTATAAAAATAAAAGTTTAACCAGGTATGTTAATTTATTTTGTCCAGGATGACAGAGTAGTTTATGACATTTTAGTATTTTATGTATAGAATTCCCCTCAGGGGAGTTTCTTTGACTGGTGAGGGGCTCTTGATCTAGGGAATTGGATCTGTGCTCCGGTTCCCTGAATACCTTACACCCCTCCCACGCGCTGTATAATCCTATGGGTTTAGTGCTCCCCCATGATAATTATAATGTGTATGGAATTCAATTCTCTTACTTTAGCATTTTCTTCATAATATACAGTTACTTTTCAAAATTCTTTGTGCATGGTATGCTGTCAGTCTTCTTAAATCTGTAAATTACTTCATAGGAATTTTTGACTGTCCCATTCAATAAGTTCATAGACCTATTTACTATTTTGTATATAATCAACATTCATTTTATTCTTAGGTTTACCAGCTCCAACTTCATTTCATATAGTTGAATAGTGCTCATGGGTTTAGCATTTCTTTGTGTATAAATTTGATTATTGCACCTAATCTGTGATAGTGTATTTGGGATCACATTTTTTCATAGGCCTGAATATAACATTAAAATTAGATATGAAAAATCAATGAGATTATTTGTTGATGCTGTAGCTATTCAGCATAGTTGAATGACTAGACTCTCCTCTAGTAAGAGGTGCCTGGGGATCACTTTCCAAGTGAGTATTCTAAAAAAAAGCAGCAGCACTGTATGACCCTTGTAGATTTAGTATTTAGTTCTGATTATAATCTAAAAAGAAAATTGCTGTAGTAGTAATGTATCAGTCTGTGCTTGTGGGGTCCTCACTAGGTATTATTCAAAACTAAAATATTAGCTGCTATTGACAAACATTGAGTCATGAGCAAATGCTGATCTTGTTCTCAAGTTGGCATTTTCAGTTCTGTGAGATTAACAGTAATGATTAGTGCATGTGGCAATCCTAGGACTACATGCCTCTTCAAGGGGGGCTCCTTGGCGTGGTGAAGAGGCTCTTGGTTTGAGGAATTAGACCTGTCGGTCTACTTCCTCAGACCGAACCTAATTACCCCCCAGTCCCCCGTTCCCTATCCCATTCTCCCCTTTTTCCTTTCCTCCTCCTCCCCACCCCTCCCTTTTTGGCCTTTGGTTTTTTTTTTTTTTCCCCCACAGGCACGCTAGTTCCTAGATAGGGGAAAGGGTACCGGGGTCCATCCCATTCCGTTGAGGTTCTTGGCGGTGGCGTAGTTTGCCGTGGAATCTGGATTGCCTGGGGATGTCCTGATCCCTCTCCGGTATCCCGGAGGGTGGCTTTGGGTGTCTCGGGCGACGGGTGTATCTCTGGAAGCCACCTTTTGGATTCCGGGGGTGGTGGCCGAAGGAGGTATGCTTTGTGGCGGATTTCCGGCCGCCCTCTCTTTTGTCCACCGAGGTAGCTCGGCAGATGTGAGGTTGCTATCCCGGATTGCCGGATTATTGGCATGATGGGTAGGGTATGGCACGGGTTCCATGCTGCATCTGCGCTACTTGCGGTGCTGAGGTCCTCTTGGGCGCGGAGGGAGATTTCTGGCCCTTTCATTCCTCCTAGGAACTATCCCTCCCCGGTCCCCCCTTTTTTTATTCTTTTTTTTATTTTTATTTTCTTTCTTTTTTTTTTCTTAAAAACAAAAAGAAAGAAGTAACCTAACCATGGCAGCCCTAGTCCATGAACCTGCTATCCCCGGGGCCCCTTCTTGATACCGCACCCCGTTCTGACCCCGCCTCATCTTTGGACCACTCTGCTGTATAGCCCTTGTGGCTTAGCGCTTCTTTTTTGATTATAATAATTTGGACCACTCTTCGGACACTCCTCATGCCTCTGTACCTCTTGCCGGTGCTGTTTCCTCACCTGCTTCAGGTACTGAGGCCTCGACTGACTCTTTCGATTTATCTGACCTTCACTCTCCTCTGACTGCTTCCGGCCTCTCCCTCTACGGTGCGGCAATTTTCGAATCGCCGGCCTGTTCCACGTCGGACCAACTCTGGTCCCACGCCTAAATGCCAATGACAATTACCTGCTGATGATACTGCTCCACCTTCTCGTTCTTCTCAGAAAAGATCGACACGTCCTTCACTACCTTTCCACGCTCAGTTTCAGACTGCACAATGGACTAAATTCTTCACTTTACGACCGACTTCCTCTACTGCCTATCTTTCTGACCACAGTATTGGCAAGGCACTCCTACGCCATGTTGGTAAAGATATTTCTTTTCATGCTCTTAAGAGCGGTACGTGCATCGTCACCGTACAGAATGCTACCAGGCTCAGAGTTTTCTCGTCTTTCCCATATCGATACTGTTCCTGTAACTATTGAAAAGCATCATTCCCTCAATTCTTGTACCGTCATTCTGCCCCATACCATAGTTCAACAAAATTTCCAGACGTGGCACTGACATTCTTGAAGAGCTGGAACTCCAAGATCTCCCAATCCTCAAGGTAGACACTTATGCTCTTCCTGCCCGCAGGCGGAGACGATACCCTAGCAATGTGGCTCGTTTAACTTTTGACAGCCGTGAACTCCCATCCTCAGTTTATGTAGCAGGACATCGGTTACAAGTTCGAAAGGTGATCCCTACACCGCAACAGTGTAGAAATTGCTGGCGATTTGGCCATCCAGCAAAATATTGCAGATCTATCGCTGAATGCCCAGTCTGTGGTGCCGATGACCATTCTAATACGTCTTGCAATCGACCTCCCTCTTGCCTTAATTGTCATGAGGCTCACCCTTCGTACTCTCGCCGTTGTCAAGTCTACTTAAACGAGCGGGAAATCCGTTACCTCAAAGAGGCAGAAGGTCTCCCTTATGCCATGGCAGTTTCTCATCTCCGCCTCCAAGGGAGACTACCTCGTGTTTCTTATTCCCGTGTTTCAAAACGTCCCCCACTTCTGGTATCCCATCTTCTGCACCCACCTCTGTGGTTACCTCTCCCATAGTCACTCCTGTAGCTAATTCTTTTGCTGTCCTCGGCTCAGACTTCCCTACTTCAGTGTCTGTGTCTGATCTTGCTTCTTCGTGTTCTCTCTCTCACAAGCCTCAGTAGCGACGAGATCTCGTGTGACACCTCCCAATCGTCCCTCTACTTCTCAAAAGTAAAAAAACGGTCCGTTAACACCTCCTACCCATCTTCCACCTCATTTTCCCTTCCCTGTCTCTGTACCTGGTTCTCCCCCTCTCACTGGCTCGGTTTACAAGTGTAGAGGTTTCACCTTCCTTTCCCCTGTTCCCTCCCAAGTTTCTTCCTCTTCTGCCACCTCCCAGGTTTCTTCCTCTTCTGCCACCTCCCAGGTTTCTGCCTCTTCTGTCCCCTTCCACGCTTCTCCAGTTCCCTCCACCCTTTCGCCCCCCCCCTACCTTGGTACAGTCCATTACCGTTCCAATCTTTACTCATCCTCCCCCTACCATTTCCAATATTGTCTCCTATACGACGTCTCTGAATTCTGAAACACTTGAAGCAATCTCTGAATTTATTGCAGAGACCAAACCATCAATGGACACTGATCCACCCTCCGCTCCTTCTCTCTCCTCTACTCCATCTGCACAGCTCCTTTCTTCACAGCGCACCATTCCTTCGCTGCTTGAACGTTTTCCACTGCCTCCGCATGTGGACTTTTCTAACCCCTCTAGTCCGTAGGAAACCTTACCTGCGGATTTCAGGTATCTTTATCATTGCCAATCATGGCCTATTTACAGTGGAATATACGCGGCCTCAGGGGTAATCGGGGTGAGCTTCAGATGTTACTCTCCCAGTTTTCCCCTGTTGGTGTTTGCTTACAGGAACCAAAATTACACTCTGCTGTTATCTCTCCCATCTCAGGCTATAATTTATTGTATTCTTCAGATCCTTTTCTGATGGGACCTTTAATGAAAGTGCCCTTCTTCTATGCACTGATATTCTGTACCATCAGCTATTTGTTCGTACTTCGCTGCATTACACAGCAGCCCGTATCCACTTGCATAGGTGGTATACGCTCTGTTCTTTATATCTCTCTCCTTCTCGGGCATTATCTATTCCGGATATTGCCTTTCTTGTTTCGTCATTACCACCACCGATTCTGTTACTTGGTGATTTTAATGCCCACCATTTCCTCTGGGGGGGGGGGGGGTCTCGCTGTGATTCCCGTGGCATTCAGTTAGAGGCTTTTCTTGCCACCCACCCCCTCCATGTTTTAAATACAGGTACTCACACCCATTTTGATCCTCGGACTCACACTCTTGCATCAATCTCTCAGTCTGCTCTTCCTCCGCCGCATTAGACTTCACTTGGTCTGTTCTTCCGGACTTACAGGACAGCGATCATTTCCCAATCATTCTTACTTCCCCTTCATATTCAACATCTCTTCGCATCCCACGCTGGCAATTTGATCAGGCAAATTGGAACCTTTACTCACACCTAACTGTTTTTAGAGAGGTTCCTTCTTCGTCCTCCATCGATGAGCTTTTACACCTCTTCTCGTCCTCCGTTTTAACCGCAGCTTCTCATTCTATACCCCAAACTTCGGGCAGGCATTCTCAGAAATGCGTGCCTTGGTGGTCTCCTGCTTGTGCTCGTGCAGTACGTTTGAAACGTGCTGCATGGGGCAGGTACCGGTACAATAGAACCACAGAGAGACTTCTTGATTTTAAGCAGAAGCGTGCGATCGCTCGCCGTGTCATCTGTGATGCTAAACGCACTTGCTGGCGAGATTGTCTCCACCATCACCTCTGCTTCCTCTATGAGTGAAGTCTAGAAAAAAGTACGAAAACTGAGTGGTAAATATTCTCCTGACCCGGCTCCTGTTCTGCGGGTTGCCGGTGTTGATATAGCAAACCCACTAGATGTTGCCAATGAAATTGGCAATCATCTGGTCCGTATTTCTCAGGGACTCCATCTATGCCCCTCATTTCTTTCCTCAAAGTCTGCCAGAGAGTTAGCACCCTTGGACTTTTCTTCTCTCAGAGAAGAACAGTATAATGTGCCTTTTACACTTCAAGAACTGAGGCAACACTCTCAGCTTGCGATCATC